AATAAATTAAAAGAAAAGGTCACCAAATGCAAACAATAAACAGGTCTTCGGAAGTCAAATTTGAAGAGTGGAGGGATATATCAGATGGTGACTTGACGAAATTGATCCCTGAAAATAATATATGCTTGTTCATATCTAAACACCTTTACCTGTTCCTAAACATCTTACATTCTTATGTACTGCTTTGTTAGCTTTAGCAATATATAATTAAAGAATTCAGCCAACAAAACAGGATCACATAAAGTGTCATTAGAGAGAAATGAATAAGAGTTTATAATGAACAGCAGTGCCTGGCATTTATTAGACTTGCTTTCTACTGCATAGTTCAACAGATTATTGATTCAAAAAGTAATTTCTCTTCCTGTCAGTGTCTCTCCATGGAGAAACTTATCATTGCCAAACAGAAGAAAAACTGCATCCTTAATCCGCTGAATACTGAGCACAATGTGAAGTTTTTATTGAAAAATCCACTTGCACTGCAAATATCTATAAAAGAAATACATAAGGGATATGCTCCTTAGTCTGAAGCAGAACAGCAGCTATTCAGGGATCCAATAAATATTGCATAGTTCATAACAATCTCTGAATAAATCAAATCTTATTACTGAAACTAAGAGTGCCAACATTCACTCAAATTAATACTAAACAAGCAAATACTTATTAATATTAAACAACATTATTTATTGATATATTAATGGTAATGTGATTGGACCAGTAACCAAGAACCAAAGGGTAATGAATCATAGAATCCCTATAGTGTGGAAACAGGCCCTTTGGACCAACAAGTCCACATCAACACACAGAGCATCCCCCTATAACCCACCTAATCTACACATCCCTGAATACTACGGGCAATTTAGCACGGTCAATCCACCTAGCCTGCACATCTTTGGACTGTAGGAGGAAACCAGAACACCCGGAGGAAACCCATGCAGACATGGGGAGAATGTGCAAACTCCATACAGACAGTTGCCAGAGGGTGGAATTGAACCCGGGTCCCTGGTGCTGTGAGGCAGCAGTGCTAACCACTGAGGGAATGGGTTTGAATCACACCATGGCTGATGATGAAATTGGAGTTTTAAAAAATCTGGAATTTAAAGCTCAATTAATGATGACCACATCTCTATTATTTTTATGCAAACCCATCTGGTTCAGTAATGTCCTTCAGGGAAGGAAACCTGCCTTCTTTTCTTGCTGTGAAATATTCTTGCTAGTAAATTTTCTTCCATTGGTTATTTTAATTTCAAATTATTGTGGAATTTTGTTTTCAGAAGAAATATTGTGGCATTATTATAAATGATATTGTCTAACACGTTGCAAAATTAAAGATCCAATGCAATGTCAGAGATCCATGTTAGAGATCCAACGTAATGTGCCACAAAACAGATTTGTATGCAACAAGATGGAAAGGGACCGTGGCAGCAAGGATATAAAATTTGGCTAAGGGATAGAAAGCAAAGAGTACTGATAAACAGTCATTTTTCATAGTGGAGGGATGAATGCAGTGGTTGACTAAAGAGGTCTAAATTAAGACTACTGTTCCTTAAAATATGTATTAATAATTTAGAAGTGGGACACAGAAGATAATTTCAAAACTTGCAGAAGAATAGTAATCAGACTTCAGGAGGACATAGGCAGATTGGTGAAATGAGAAGAAACACTTTAACTTTAACATGGAAAAGGAACGAACATTCCACTCAAGCAAACTGCTACAGTGTGTGGTGTTGAGCTACTCAGGTGTGGGTGGAGCAGCACTCATTTTCAACAGTGAACTGATCCAATTTAAGAGTCTGTTAGAAACCATCATGTGACCTTTGTTAGACGAATGAAATGCACTCTTTCAGACCAAAACTAAGCTCAATGTTCAAAAGGCATGTTTATTTGACGATACAGGTATTTCTCCTTTAACACGACAGTTGCGTTCTTGTGACCTCACACTATAGAAAATCGCCAAAGAAGTTGCCATACCTGTACAGCAGAAAGTTCGCGTTATCCAAACAGCGTCCACTGTTCATCAATCATGTTACAACCAATTTGCGTTAATGAAACACGTGTTATAGCAGAAATACCTGTATCAGTTAGATGAACAGTGCTTAATCCAATAGTCTCTGGACTGTAACAAGGTGTGGAGCTGGAGGAACACAGCAGGCCAGGCAGCATCAGAGGAGCAGGAAAGCTGACATTTCGGGTTGGAACCCTTTCTGAAGAAGGATCCTGACCCGAAATGTCAGCTTTCTTGCTCCTCCGATGCTGTCTGGCCTGCTGTGTTCCTCCAGCTCCACGCCTTGTTA